ATTGGTATTTGAATTTAGATCTTTTTAATATTCATATTTTAAAGTGCTTTTAACTTAGGCTGAATGTTAGTATTTAATGTAAGTCCATGTATGAGATGCCATACGCTAAATAATAAGGTGAAGATAGTGACATAATGTTCTCCTGGCCCTATAATTTCTTTTTCTAAACCTAGGTTAAGAAGGACATCAAAACTGGCCACTCAAAGGGGTTTGGTTTTGTAAGATTTACCGACTATGAAACCCAAGTGAAAGTCATGTCTCAGCGTCACATGATAGATGGAAGATGGTGCGACTGCAAGCTCCCCAATTCTAAGGTACATCACATTTATGGGCTTTATAAATCAAATCAGGCCCAGAGATTTTGTTCTCTGAAACACATTAGCAGAAGTCCAGAGTGGTCCAAGTGTTCATATGACTTGACAGGTTTTTGCAAGTGGGGTGAATTTCAGATATAGATTGCTATTTCTGAAGTGGAGGAAAGGGAGCTGCTGTTAAAGAAAAACAACGCAAGGTCGCCAATCATGCCTGAAGGGACATATTGGCCGAAGTAGAATGAGACCATGGGAACTGTGTTGCCCTTTCCTCACATTACTCAAAATATTATGTGACATGGCACTTTTGTCTTGTCCTTTATTCTAAATTCAATAGAAGGATTGTTCTTTTTATTTCTAGCTACCTGAGGGACCATTGGTCTCCAGTAGCTTCTGTCCATCACGTATGATCCGACAGTTGGCATCCTCTGGTCCCTTTGATTAAACAGGGTCCTCTGAATGGATCCAGGGAGCAGGCCTTCTCTGGCGCAATGCCAGCCATCTGAAAATATCTCCCAGAGATCCTACCCTGACCTTTGAAAACATGGGTTTTGCCCTAAGCTTTGGGCTAAACAGGTGGTGGGCATTTAATGGGGCTATGTATGTTCAGGTGGATGTTTTATTGTTCTCCCAGATGTGTATTGTTCTTTTGGGGTGTTGTTTTAGACTGTTCTCATTGTTTTAAGCCACCCAGAGTCAGTTATAAAATTCAACAAAAGCCATATTACTGCATAGATGCATGCAAAAGTCTGTGAAGTGTTCACAGGGGGAAAAAATTCCATTTTTTATTATCACCTATTTCCTAGTTCGCCAGTTTCTAATTCTAATAATAGTGTCATGTCACTTGAATTTTGGAAGAGACCATTTCAGAATTTGAAAAACTTCCCTGGCTAGTTGCTGCATCCTTATGTAGGAAAAAAATCTTTACTCATTATGGGGTGTGTCACTGTTTTCTTGATATTGATATAAATCTTCTCCTGCATTGGCACCAGCAAAGTCCAGATGAACCTTTGCGTAGCAGGAAGGTGTTCGTTGGGCGTTGCACTGACGACATGACTGCAGATGAGCTCCGTCAGTTTTTTTCGCAATACGGAGAAGTCGTTGATGTCTTCATTCCCAAACCATTCAGAGCTTTTGCCTTTGTTACGTTTGCTGATGATCAGGTATTCACCCAGTGCACCCTTTTCCTGAGGAGCACGCACTGTTTTCTTAAGCAGTTTTCATAACATTCCCGTTTAATTTCATTGTGCGTAAAATGTAAATGCAGTTGGCTTTTGAATTATGAGACACATAAATTACATATATCCTGTTAATATTTTATTCCTGTCAGCTACACAATCACTTCAAGATAGGTTTTGATCCAGGAAAGCTTGATCTAAAGTATCTCAGTATTACTGTGTAATTAGATGCCTCTGTTTCATTGCCACTGTTTAAATAACAATAGACACAAAGCAAACCTTGTAAATAAACTGGCTGTTAATCATTTTTGCCCTTGAGAATGAAGAAAACACAACTCTTAACTCTCGTTTGCCTGGGAAGCTGTTTAATCTCGCCATAGACCTCTGGGCCTGCGGCTACTTATAAATTTGTATGAAGCCGTATTCAATTTCAAAATCCGCTGTGTAAGAACTATAATTGGAATAATCGTGTGGGGTGGGCTTTCTTTCAGAAACGCCAGTGGAAGTTTTTATGAGGAAATAGGTTTCTTGTTTCAGACTGAAGTAGAATGAGTATGAGGTGCAAGGCAAGTTAAATTAATGTTGTGCAGTCCTGGTTTTTTAGCGGAGGGGAGTAATTTTCCACCGTTGGGAGGGAATGCTAATAGTCGGCTAGGTAATACTGAATACTTCAAGTAAGCCTATTCATTGCTGCTCTTGTTAGCATGCTTGGTCCGTTTGTTGTCTGTCTTCCTTCCTTGGCTCCCGCAGTTACTCTGTCCTTGTCCCTTGTTTCTTATAGGTCGCCCAGTCCCTTTGTGGTGAGGACTTGATCATAAAAGGAATCAGCGTCCATATATCCAATGCTGAACCTAAGCATAATAGCAGTAGACAACTAGAAAGAGGTGGAAGATTTGGTGGTAATCCAGGAGGCTTTGGGAATCAGGGTGGATTTCCTAACCGCGGGGGAGGCGGGGGAGGGGGCGGGCTGGGCAACAACCAGGGCAGTAACATGGGGGGCGGGATGAACTTCGGGGCCTTTAGCATCAACCCAGCTATGATGGCAGCCGCTCAGGCAGCCTTGCAGAGCAGCTGGGGCATGATGGGCATGCTCGCCAGCCAGCAGAACCAGTCTGGGCCGTCAGGGAACAACCAGCCGCAAGGCAACCTGCAGAGGGAGCAGAACCAGGGGTTCAGTTCGGGCAGCAATTCCTATGGAGGTTCGAACTCTGGCCCAGCGATAGGGTGGGGCTCGTCCAGCACGGGCTCCGGCAGCGGGTTTAATGGTGGCTTTGGCTCAAGCATGGATTCCAAATCATCTGGCTGGGGGATGTAGGCAGCCTTGTACTGACTCTGGTGGGAAATCAGATTTTTTTTTTCTAGAGCTCCTGGTAAGTATAATATAAAATGCATATACTAAAAGAAAAAAAAACCAAATCGATTTGTTCAGTGTGTAGTATATTTCAATAGTATTTTTGACACTTTTTTTCTTTTGTAAGGGGGAAAAAAAAGATTAAATGAAGTTTTATAGGTTTTGTTACAATGAGTTGGAATACATGAGTTGGGATATTGAGTGGCTGAAAGTGAACTGTTTGCCTAACTGGTAAACGGATGTGCTGCGATTTAATAGGAATTTGTAAAAATTTGATTCCTCGTTTCCTAGTCAGCCGAGATCTTTGCATGTTTCAAAAAAATGGAAGCCATTTTTCAGAAACTGCATCCTATCCTTATTAGTTTTTTTCTTTTAAAATTTAATTTGATCCCCCCGCCATAAGAATTTTTCTCTCTTTCTCTCCTTCCCCCTCCCCCAAATGTCCTGTGTGGAGAATGCAATGTTGGTGTCGGCTTTTTTTCCTTTTAACACTGTCTCCCTTCTCATACTAAAGTACGGTATGGAGACCTCATTTAGTCCTTGCAGTTCATCTCATTTCAAATGTGTCTGGAAGAAGCACTTCATTGAAAACAGTGCAGTTAAAAAAATACACACACAAACACACACACACACACACACACACATATATATATATATAAAAATATCTGCTTTAGGAATACTCCTGTCTCCATGCTTTCCTCATCCAAGACTCCTTCATCACACTGCACATGCTGCGTCTTAAGATGGTGGGTGTTCCATTTTATCCGCTACTCTTTTTATTTCATGGAGTCGCACTCAACGCTGTGAACGCAAGGCTGTGAGATGGAAACCAGAAGGCTTGTTTGAACTTCTGAAAACCTTGTGTGGGATTGGATTTGTGGTGCCAAGGCATGTGAGGGCTTGGTATGTGCGAGAAAAAGAAGGAGGCGCATGCAGAGAGAGACTTGGTGGTGCATTATGGGATTTTTAAAAAAAAACTTTTTTTTTCTTGACGCAATGTCCCTCGATCCTGTGGCTTTGGTGAGAGAGTGTGCGGAGAGCGATGGGAGCAGACGTACGAATGTTTTCCTTGCATTCAGAAGGACATCTGATCTGGAAGAACTTAAAGGGGGGAGGGCTTTTTACTTAGTTAACCGATTAGTTGGATGTGTTAAGTGAAATGAATATCTGTATTTTTTTTTCTCCTTTATGTCAACTCTGCTGTGAATGCTGTATGGTGTGTGTTCTTTTCTGTTCAATGATCCTGTAAGTGTGGTAACGTGAACTGAAGGTGGGGCTTTTGATGGGAACACCCAGTTCGTGGTGCGCTTTCTGTGTGTTTTTTTCCAGCAAAGTTCACTGACAAGCTCAGGTGTTCCCTTGCGGGTGGAAGTTTCTCTGTCTGTAAGATATCCATATGAATGCTGTTTGCTGAAGTTCTGTGTTTGGATGCTTTTTTATAAGATTTGTCAATGTAGGAAATTCTTAAATAAAACTGATTTAAGTAATACGTGTGTGTGTTTGACAGCCCCCAAGTGCAAAAGAGCTCATAGTTTTTAATTGTTTAAATATCATTTAGGGTAAAACTTGAGTTTTTTACAAATGTGTTTTTTACGTTTGCCTGCCTCGTGTAGCAGAAACTCTGAAACTAAGGTCCAGCCTGATCTTCATACCTTTTGCGATAAACATATCTGAAATGCAGTCGTGTCACGTGAAGTATCCCATCCCTGGTCAGGAAGTACCAATTTCCTGGGTGTTGAAGCAAAGATCCCAAATAACCCTTGCTTCTATGGTATTGTGTTCTCCAGTGCATCCAGCTTGGGTAGCTTAGCTGGGAATACGATGCTAATAACCTTAGTTTCAGTGTGGAGAACCAGTTTGACAAAGCGCTAGCAAACATTTCGGCTCTAAACCTAGAACAGTTACACAGTTACAGGCCTTATACTGTTCCTTCCTTGATGTAAACCTACAACTTTCATTTACTAGATAGTGGAAGCAGTTAATTTGATCCCGTTAAATTTATACACTTTAAAGTCTCCTTGTACCTGGAAGATTAGCCTCCCTCATTTTCTTTGCATTTCAGCTTAAAATCCTGTTTCCTTTTAAAGGACATTTGTGTATATAGACTCTTAAAACTCTTTGCTGGGTGCTTACTGTGGCATTGCTGTTCGATACTAAAACCGGTTTATTACACCAGAACATGGTTCTTGGTGTAAAACAGATTTGTGAGTATTCCAGAGGACAGATGTTCTTACGTTGCATAATCTTTACTGCACCTGAATCAGATCCATTGCCAAACTCTGTACCATCTGAATTTTGCATTTTAGCACTTGCACTAACACCAGCTACTGCTGCTGAGTAACACTTAATATGGTTTTCTCGGACCTCCCAAGGCTAAACTGTGTCATCCCAGGAAGGATCATGAGGGTAAGTTTGATACCTCCCTAGCATGGTTTCAGTAATTTATTTTAGCTTGTATTTTTAAAACCCAAGGTCCAGTTCTGAACAGAAAGGGGGACCCATGCTACGGTCATTTTAATGCTACTTCAAGCACTAAGGGTTCTAATGTCCCTTCCCTCAAATCCCTAAGTATCTTAGAAATGTTTTCAAACATGATTCATATCATTAATTTTTTTCGTTAGTGTTGAAAGTGAGTTAATAAACAGAATTCTCATAACTTGATTGTCTGGAGTCTTGTTTTCAACTTTCTGTAGCACTTGTATGTATTGTGCTAATGCAATTTAATTTACCACTGCTAGAAGGATTATCTTGCTAATGAGCTTCATTTAGTAATAAAGAGCATTGTAATTTAACAGAGGCCTGATGTGAGCAAATGTGTGTTTCAGTTACCTGCTGAGCATCTCTTAATTATTGAGACTTTGCTACTCAAATAGATGTGATGGTGACAATTTCTTTTTCCAGTCCAGATTTGTGTGGGCGTGAATTAAGTCTCGGAGCATTTTGGTCTCAGCAGTTGAATCTATAATGTTATAGCTGAACGAGCAGTGCATCCGGGGTTCTTGCCCTATTCCTGTGGGCTGCATACGTCTGACACCCCTTCTCTCTTCCCCCCCGGCTGTCAATATTGCCTGTTTATAAAAAAAACAGTACCTCCATCTCTTCAGTAGCTAATAAAGGAATTCCTTGTAGGCTAGGTTGTGCTCATCAAGATAAGTTTGAGGAGTCAGTAAATATAAATTCGGGGGGGGGGGAGGTTAGCCCTGATGAAGTTCAAGATTTGGACTTCTAAATTGACTGGTAGAAGAAAACTGATGGCTCTGACATGAGGAAACTGGATTGACAAGAATTCTGGCTATGATGATTAAAGTTGCCATAAAGAGGAAGGCTGAGTCTTGGGCATATTCAATACTTTGGGGGAAAGTGTGAATTTTGGTCTGAATCATTTCTGTGAACCTTTTTGATTTAAAATGGGCAGCGGTCATAATCATTGGGGCACCTGTGGCATTTCCAGTTGAGATGTTGGCATAAGAAATTGACAAAGAATCAGGTCTTTCAACTCCCCTTGATTTAAAAAAAAAATTGTTGATTGTATAGCATAGAGTGATATGTCTACTTGAGGGAAAAGCTGTGTCCCAATTTTTAAAATATTAGATTGTTGGGCATGAGGGAAAAACCTTAAGAGAGTTTGATTGTGTAAATAGCCACACAATGTAATTTCTGCACTGGAAGAAAAAGGGGAGGACAGTTTTAAAAGCGAGACATGGGTAGTCCCTGGGTTAAGAGTGCCCGGTTTACAGACCCATAGTTAAGAGTGGAGCCTGTTGCAACAAAATTCAAGTTAAATACACAATTATTCGAGTTAATTACACAATGCTTCTTATACAGTATTATATAATAATACTGTTGTGGCTTACATACAAATTTGACTTAAGGACAGACCTTGGGAATGGAACCCGTTCTTAAATTGGGGACTACCTGTATTAAAACTACTGTGTTGGGGGAAGATGTGTTTAAGGCAGATTAAAGTGTGTGTATCTTTATTTTAGTAACTTTTACCATTGCAGCTTGTTCCGATTGAGCTTTAAAATGTTCAGGACACCTTTAAAGTCAGATTCTGTGTACCTTTCTCCAAAATAAATCCCAGTTAGCCCGGGGGGGGGGAGGGTATAGATGTGCATTATTAAATTCTACAGAATCAATCACATTCTATGCTTTGTTTTATTGAAAAACACAACAAAACCCAATCAAGAATGGTGTGCAATTAGGGCCTCAATCCATGACACGTAATTGGCCGCCTTAGTATATACCCCGTAGAGCTCAGCAGAGCCACATTCCAGACCCCAGGAGACCACACCACCCACAAACCATCTCTTGGTCTCAGTATCACGGAACACCAAGGCTCCACCGCTGTCCCCATAGCAAGAGTCCTTCCCCCCCTCCTCCGTTCCTGCACAGAGCATATTTTCTGTTAGCGTGAGTGGCTTTCCCTCCAAAGTACGGCTTGCATACGCAGCTTTACACTTGTTAGGTTCAACAACGTCTACCTCAGTATACAACAAGAAACGGGACTGCCGGGATCGCTCTGTTTTTCCCCAGCCGGAAATTATTCCTGTGTTGTTTGTGTTCACGCGGAAGCTGGGTTTATATCCCGGCAAGCAGATCGGAGTGATGTTTTTGCTAATGGGAACTTTGTGTTTCAGTTTGATCAAAGCGATGTCATTGTCAAAGTTGATGCCGTCATTTGCAAAGCCTCTGTGGACAAAAGCTGATTCTGCCCAGGCTTGGTGGTAATGTGGGGAGCGTTTGTTTAGGATCCCCAGTTTCAAGGTCAGGGAGGATGCGTCGGCTGGGCTGCTGAGGACGTGAGCGGCCGTTAAGATCCAGTTATCGTATAAAAGGGCTCCGCCTCCCGTTGTTCCCTGTGCGTCAGTGATTAAAACCTGCCAAGGGAATTGGCCGGGCAGAGCCTTCTGCCCCCCAAAGATGCGCTTCAAAGTATTAGAAGTTTGGACTCCGCAGACTGGCGAGGAGGAGAAAGGAGACCCTGGAGTTAGGCTGTTATCAGATCAGTGAGATTTGATTCTCCCACCTCCCAGCCTCAGTCTACAAGCCTCGGGAAAGTGCCACGTGGGGCTGGACTATGTATCCCAACCTTTGTTGTTTTCCCACTCTTCCCTGCCCCAGAAAGGAATTCCAGGGAGGGCGGTGGCTGAACTTTGGATGTCAGGTTTGCCAAGCACCTTCTACCTTTAAGCTATGAGACCTCTTTCCCCCACTCTGGAAAGACACCTTTACTGCGGGATGTGTTTCTTAGTCACAAATCTAGGCCACACAAGGTTACGTTGATGCTTAAACTATGGAAATATCATTTTTTCCTTAATTTGTGGTTTTGCTTTATGATCTCCCAAGTATTGTGTGGCTCAGAACTACCTCCTCCACAAATATGAATGCTGCCTTAATACAGTATCTTAATACAGTATCTTGGATCACTAGATGGCACATTCTGGTCTTTTCAGCAATAGTGATCCAGGAGGATCGTTATTGAAACATTGGCACCAAAAATAAAAATAGGCTTCTAATTGGATGTCACCTGCTGAGGAAATGTGCCTGATAGAAATTTAAACCTTGTAAGTTTGACCAATGGGAAAGAAATCTAGTTTATCTCGAATGACTTTGTTTTTAGCTCTTTCTATGCTACAGGCTTTGTTGTTGGGTATGTTCCCAATTGTGCAGTTTGATTGGACGATTAGATAGATGACGGGACAGAATACAAAGATTATTTTGTATTAATACAGAAGTTTTGGAGAGTTTTTTTTTTTTAAAGCTGGCAGTAAGGGATATGTCATATACTCATCCAAAGCTTTGTAATACCTGGCTCTTTAGCCTTGAATACTGTAGTTCCTAGAGTAGTTTCTTTTGTCTAGTTAAAAGGGATTTATTTATGTTTAATGAAAAATATTTTCAGTCATCTTTTTCTCATATATGGGTATGAGAAAATCTGGGGGAGATAAAAACCAAAAATCTTTATCCATAAGATGAAAACCCCCCGTTATGCATAGCTGGCTGGTCAGGAGGGGGAAACTCTTCTGGCACCACTTGGAGCAGATAAGCAGCATGAAGCAAGAAAATGGTGACATTTGCCTAAGATCATATCCTTGTCTTATGTACCTGTTGTAGAGCAGTTGCATATATATTACCTGGCTCACAGACCGGAGGTGCTTTGTTCCCCTTGTGATCCCTCCAGAAACCATCAGGGGCACACTGGTAGTTACCTGCGCAGACAGAACAGTCTTGTTAGAGAGAGAGAGGCCCATGCTTCAAGTCACAGCCAGCTCTTTCCAACCAGTGTTAAACCCAGTCCTCCTAACCTCTAGAATTTCCCAGTTTGCATCCCAGTGTTCGCTAATACCTCCCTCTCTCGTGCTTCTGTGCATAGCAATACCAGACGACTTGTGTTTGTGTTCCACCAGGTTTTACAAACGCCTCAGGTTGAACAGTACTTTTCACGGGTCCTAACATCTACAATCCAACTTGTGGGTATGCCATAAGGACTCAATAGATGTGAACGTGGCGCAATACCAGAGCAATTAAGCCAAGGTCCTGCAAATGACCACTGGTATTTATTCCGGTTTTTTTTTTTTTTTTTTTTGGACCACTTCCTCTTGGATTGTCATATCATTATAGAATTCTTTCTCCATGTACTGATCCGTCTGCACCCAAAGCAGCACTTCATTTGCACAGGGAGCAGTCTGCGTAGCCTTCGTGAACTTGCAAGATTTGCAGAATTGATTTTTAAACACTCTGGTTTTTTTGTATATTAAGGCAATCAGATAAGGGGGAGAGATTTGCAGATCCATTGAATGTTTTAAGGAACAAGAGAACGTTAAAAGAACAGAACGTCCTGGACGAAGATCCTGCTAACTAGAATGCGGAAGAGGTGCGATCTACGCTGCCTTGCTTTGAGCGACAAGCTCCCACTGGGATTGCAGGGAGCTTTTCTGCGCAAAACGGAAGGCACCCTCTCCTAAGTCATGAAAGGTTTATCTTACCAGAGTGGCCCGCTTTCAGGGCATAGAAGGGGCTCTCACAGTTATATTTAATCTTGGCTTGGTATGTGGAAATATCTCTTCGGGTGACATACACGAGTGTGCCGTTCGCTATGTCATTAGCAGGGCCACAGTCGACAACTGAAAGGGATAAGGTAGAAATATTAAGTGTCTGAAAGGAATACAGACAACGATTACAAGAAATTGCAGGGCGACAGCAGTGGCAGGATAGGGAATGGAGAATCCAGTCCCAAGTCAAAAGGAATCTCTCTGATACTTGATTTAAGACATCAATATCTTTGGTCTTACAAGCTAAATGGAGAATTATTATTTTAGTCAGACTGTAAATAACATAGATTACATTCTGCCTCTAAGTGTCTCTCAAATGGCTTTTGGAGAATAAAATCAATTTTAAAAGAAGAATTAGAGGGTGAGCAGAAGCAAGATCAAAGATTTTTCTGTATTAAATACATAGCAAAAACTAGGGCATCTGTTGATCTGTCTCTGTACTGAAAACATTCTAAAGCAGGCAATTTTTATTCTGCTGAAATTCAAATGTAGTTTGTCTCCCACAATTTTTATTAGAGAACTTTGTCCTGTCAAACTTGATATGGATCCCCGCAAGAAGCAAGTAATACATCTGAGGACGGCAAATCCAGTCTTAATTCTGGGCAAAGACCTACTGGTGCACTGGGCCATTGGCTTGTTCCAGGTGCCATCCCTCTGGCAGACTGCTTTGAAAGATGCCACGATCAGTTTGTTCTGTGGGAGGGAAAATAGAAAAGATTTCAGGGAGTTTGTTTTCTCCTGAAAACGGTCATGCTTCCAAGAGTAGAAATGGATGTTTTTAGATGGGGACTAAGTTTACTACAAACTGAAAATGCCTTTGTTACTGACGATCAGTTCCAAGAACATTAAGGCAAAAAAAACAGCTGGTGTTATGCAGTGCAACAGCTTGAGGTCCCATCACCCCAACCAGAAAGACCACATTTGTGTGTGTGTGTGTGTGTGTGTGTGTGTGTGTGTGT